GAGGATTAGAGGTGACGGCATAAGCAGTTGAACGGGAGTAACTAACTGTTCTGACCTGGCTTGGAAGGAGCTGAGAGATTTTAGAGAGGAGGGCCCCTTCAGCCCAGGGGCGTGATGGGTAGGAGGGAAGACAACCATGAAGGGACTGCAGGGGAGGTGGCTTCTTCCAGGAAAGCCAGGAGTCTTTTAGAGCAGGAAAGTGAAGCAGACCTCCAGGACAAGGTGCAGGGCGTGGAGACTGCCCTGAAGGGTGGAGCGTTCTGGAGTGCACAGAGAGAAAGCTTGGGGATGGGGTCAGACTGGTGCGTGTCCAGAGCAGCTTGGGGTTGGCAGCATGGGAGGTGAAGGACAGTATGAGGATGGTGGGTGTCAACTGCCATAGGGGCCTCAGAGCTTTGTCCTGATGGCGCTTGCAGTGGGGGGCTATGGGGGATGTGCAAGGGTGGGGCCTGTGAGGGGAGGCTTGCTGCGAACATGAGGGCCTTTGTAGGTCCCCCTTCGACCCAGCTGAGGGTGGCGGGGAGTCTGGCTTTTGGGGAGTGTGTGGGGCCTCTGCCCAGTCCGGCCTGTGGCCTCCCTAAAGGAGTAGGCCATACACTTCATCCCCAGGTTAAGAAGCAGAGATCAGGGCTGGGTGTGGTGGCTTACACCTGTAGCAGTTTGGGAGGCTGAGGCAGGAGGATTGCTTGAGGCCAGGAGTTGGAGACCAGCCTGTGCACCATAGTGAGGCAACATCTCCACCAAAAAAAAAAAAAGGAAGCAGAGATCAGAAGCCTGACTGCTTTTAGTTGAAGAGACAACAAAGTGACCCCTCCCCAAGCATCAGAAGGCTCTAGTACAGAGCTGACAGTCCCTGAACTCTTCTTTTCAGGGCTCACTTGCCCTAATGCTTCCCATTATCTATCGAAGTTAAGTGCCCCGCTTTTGTCTTCAGGTGTGGCCTCTTGCAGCAGTAAGGGTGGTGCTGACTGGGGAGGGCACTGACACCCGAGGAGTGCTGCCCTGTCTGTGTCCCATGCCAGGCACTCTGTGTTTCATTCTGTGCTACAGCAACCCTTCCGCACGTCCCACCATAAAGCAGAGGAAGCTGGCGGTGCACATTCACGTGGCTGAGGTCACACTGTGCTCCTGTTCCCAGAAACAAGTGCTGTAGCTGCTCCCCCAGATTGCCACCCTGGCTTTGGCAGCACAGGCCTGGCACTTTGCATCTGCTACCTCCAGGGTCCAGTTCTGAATTGCTGGCTATGCTTTTGTAACCTTTCAGAAAATGCTGTTCCCTACCAGGAATAGATTCTGCTGTCAAAACCCAGAAGAAAAGTCTGCCTGAACAGGAACCATCTTGTCTCTGACCCTCCTCTGCATTAGCTCCATAAGTGGCCAGACCATCCCCGAGAGCAGCCCATCCTGGCTGCCAGCTGCTTGCCAAATGCTCAGTTCTATGTTTTTTTTGTTGTTGTTTTTTGGGTTGGTGTCTCACTCTTGTCACCCAGGCTGGAGTGCAGAGGCATGCTCACGGCCGCCGCAGCCTCAACCTGCTGAGCTTAAGCAATCCCTCCACCTCAGCCTTTCAAGTAGCTGGAACTACAGATGCATGCCGCCATGCCCAGCTAGTTTTTGTGACTTATTGTAGAGACAAAGTCTCACCAAATTGTCCAGGCTGATCTTGAACCCCTGGACTCAGGCAGTCCTGTCACCTCGGCCTCCCAAAGTGTTGGGATTACAGGTTGAGCCACCGCAGCCAGCCATGTTTTGTTTTTTGTTTTTTGTTTTTTTGAGTTGGAGTCTCACTCTGTCACCCAGACTGGAGTGCAGTTGGCCGCTCCCGGCCACCGCAGCCTCGACCTGCTGGCGATTCTTCCGCCTCAGCCTTCCGAGTAGCTGGAATTACAGGCGTGCGCTACCACGCCCGGCTAATTTTTTGATTTTATTGTAGAGATGAGGTCTTGCCTGCCCAGGTGGGTCTGGAACCCGCGGGCTCAGGCAATCCACTCACCTCAGCCTCCCAAAGGCACGGGATTACAGGCTGAGCCACCGAGCCTGGCACGTGTTTTGTTTTTTTAAAGCTGCACAGACCAGCACAAATGCTCAGTCAAGCCAGTCACCAAGTGTGGTCCTTTTCTCCATTCATTCAGCAGATGCTCATCCTCCCTGCCCTTGGGCAAGCTGCTGAGGGCAGCCATGAGCCAGACAGGTGGTCCTCCAGCCCCTCAGTCAGCTATGCAGACACAGCACAGGCAGTAGAGCGATAACAGATGTGGCGGGGAGTCCAGGGCTCTAGCAGCCCTGGGTTGTGGGCGTCTGGCCCCGTGGAAAGGGACCAGGGAGACTTCCTGGAGGAGCCCCCAGGCAGAACCTCCAGTGTCCTGCAGTGCCCTCTGCCCTACTTCGTTGTATTATGGGGACTGTGGCCATGTCTCTCCTTCATGAGCCAGGTCTACATGTTGTTATCTCGACATCCCCACCCCCGCACAGAGTGGATCCCCTAGTGTCTGCTCTGTGGGTGACAGTGAGCCAGCTTCCCTCCCTCCTATTCTCCCTTCCCTCCTATTCAATCTCAGCAGTGTCCGACCCACAAGCATGCAAACTGCAGATTCTGATTCTAGAAGTAAACTTATGACAGAGCCACCCTTTTCCAGGAATCAGCTAAATGAGCATTTGGCTCATGCCATATAACCAAACCTCTGAGTACCTGTGTGTTTGATGTAAATGTCCACATGTAGCTGAGGGACCTCAGTCGGGAAGGCCAGCAGATCACAGCTATGGACATGCTGTAACGGGACAGAAATGCCTTTCACACCTCTCGACTCTGCAAGGCGAGGATCTCCAAATTAGGAATCAGGAGTCCCAGGTTGAACCTGCCTATACCATGTACTGGCTGCTGGGACTGGGATACTGAGCAAGCCTCTGAACCCCAGTTCCCCTGACGTGAAGTGCTTGCCTGACGTTGCTATCTGAACTGTGAGGGTGAAGTGGAATCACCTTGGGTGGGCGGCCCCATTCACGGGAGCCTGCTCCATGCCAGAGCCTGCAACCTGGACTGCAGCGTTTCACTGCCCTCGGGTCCCCTGGAGAGAAAGGCCCTTGCCACTGCAAGAAGCCAGGGACTGGCGCAGATGCCATGGCAGAGCATCTGAGGCTCCTGTCCAGCTCTTCCCGCCGCAGAAGTCCAGGCTGTGGTTCCCGCATCCGTGCCTCTGTACTGGCTCTGTCAATATGTGAATGTTAATTGGGAAATAGGCGATTAAAGGAAATGAGAGGGATAGCGTAGGTCAGGCTGGTGGAGGCTCGTGCAAACGAGTGTCAACTGCAGGGCCTCTGTCTGTCCTGGACCCTCCTAGCAGGCCACTCACACCCCCGCTCGCCATCTGAAATCAGATTAATCACCCCTGCTCTGCAGATGCTGTATGGTGTTTCCAGACATGCTTTCTCTCCATCTCCACTCAGGGCTGACTCAGTGTCATCTCATTCATGTTTCTTTTGGGGTCGTTCCCAGGTTTGATCTGGTGGCCTGTGTAAAACGTCAGTTTCCGGGAGGGGTCGGGGAGGACTGTCCATAGTACCAGCAAGATTGTATTCATAGGTAGTGTTTGCTGGGCTGCCAAAACCACCTGGTGACAGGCTGGCAGCAGCCAGGCACAGGTCGGGGAAGGAAGAGCCAGGGCCAGTCAGGCTGCTTCTCTGGGGACATCCTATCTGCCACGAAGCAGCCTGGTGGCATTGCAGGTTATCTCTGCACAAGAACTCACCGTGGTCCTGGCTGTTCTGTCTCTAGGTATGATGAGGAACTGGCCCAGGGTGATGGGGCTGACCGAGAGCTGAGAGGCCGCCCAGGCCAATCACTGGGACCCAAGGCAGGCCGGTCGAGAGACGCGGGGAGGACTGTCCTCACCACCTGGAAGTGACTCCAGCCTGATCTTACCGAAACTATGCACTCTACCTGGGGCCCTGCTGAAAACCTATTTTGAAATTTCCTTTTTCTAGAGCTTTTTTTCCTTTCCTAAGCCCTGTAAATAAATAAAGGCACTTCTTTGGAAGGTTATGGCGTCTGTTTCACTGGTGCTGGAAGAACAATTCACATGATGTACAAAACTAGTTCTTTTGACAGAAAGCAGCGCTTCAGCATGTGATTTAATTATAAAGTATACACATTAAAAAAATTTTTTTACTACATTAAAAACAAAAAACCTGAATATCTTACAGAATATGCTGCTATGAGAAAGTAATGTGTTTAACCTGACAGCTATTTTGATTGTATTCCTTTTTATTTGACAGTGATTTTGAAGAAAATAGACAACTAGAAGTCTTTCTCAATAATTTATCTTTACAAAGGCCTTTGTCCAGAAGACACTTCAGTTTGGTAGATGAGTGTAAATTTAAACAGAGGAGCACAGACAGTTCCCGCTGTGTGGCTTTTGTGACAATAGCATCTGGGTTTACTGCCAACTCAGGGAAGCGCTGTGGGCAGCTGTCAGCGAGGACAAGTCACATGAGGTGGGAGCAAGGACACAGCCACCTCGAAGCCCGGAGACTCACAGCAAAGTATGGGCGGGACCCGAGTTGGTCCATAGACTGATGGGTGCATCTGAGTCACTCCTGAGCTGAGAGTGTTTTTAGTCAAGGCCTTATACTGACAGTGCTAGTCAACACTTGTTTAGGGAAGCTTCACTGTCTTGAATTCTCTTTAAAACTCCCTACCTGCCAGGCGTAGTGACTCACGCCTGTAATCCCAGCACTATGGGAGGCCGAGTTGAAAGGATTGCCTGAGCCCACGGGTTCCAGACCAGCCTGGGCAACTTGGCAAGACCTCATCTCTACAATAAATCAAAAAATTAGCTGAGCATGGTGGCACGTGCCTGTACTTCTAGCTACTTGGAAGGCTGAGGCGAAGGGATTACCTGACCCCAGCAGGATGTGGTGGCCATTACTGTGCCACTATACTCCAGCCTGGGTGACAGAATGAGACTCTAACTAAAAAAAAAAAAAAAAAAAAAAAGGCCATTGGAGCCGGCTCGGCTTGCGAGCCCCGTTGAGGAGCCGGCGCTTGGGCCGCAGTTATCGTCGCGTCCGCTCCCGGTTCCTGGCCAGTTGGCGGCATGGCGTGCGGGGCGACGCTGAAGCGGCCCATGGAGTTCGAGGAGGCGCTGCTGAGCCCCGGGTCCCCGAAGCGGCGGCGCTGCGCCCCTCTGCCCGGCCCCACTCCGGGCCTCAGGCCCCCGGACGCCGAGCCGCCGCCGCCTTCGCTTCAGACGCTGACCCCACCGCCGACTCTGCAGCAGTCCGCCCCGCCCGGCGGCGAGCGGCGCCTTCCAACCCCGGAGCAAATTTTTCAGAACATAAAGCAAGAATGTAGTCGTTATCAGAGGTGGAGACATTTAGAAGTTGTTCTTAATCAGAGTGAAGCTTGTGCTTCGGAAAGTCAACCTCACTCCTCTGCACTCACAGCACCTAGTTCTCCAGAACAATATGAATCTTTTGTGAAATTCACACATGATCAGATTATGCGACGGTATGGAACAAGGCCAACAAGCTATGTGTCCTGAGCTTTGTTGCATATCTGGGTACCAGGTTTGACCTCAAGAGATGGCTGCTGTACACTTTTTGCAACTGGTTTGATATCACATTTCAGCTCCAACTTTGCATCCTGAGAACACTTAATGTTTCTGCAGGTCCATTTTATACAACTTGAAAGACCTTAAAACTTTCTGGTTGCCACAAGCATATCTTTCTTTTCTGCTCATCCAATAAACAGCTGTGCCCTACTGTGATAGATTTTCCAAACAAAATACCTGGAGCAGCAGTTTAGCAAAATATGCCTTCAGTGGCACTCAACAAGTGGAGTTTCCCCAAGCACAGTTCTGTAAGAAGT